AATGTAATGTAATGTATGTAATGTATATGATGTATGCAATGTATGTAGCGCATGCAATGTATGTAATGCATGGGTGCATGTATGTATGCATGCATGTATGTGTAGATGTATGTATGCTTGTATGCATGTATGTATGTACGTATGCATGTACGTATGTATGCATGTATTCATGTATGCATGCATGTGTATATAATACCTTTGTCTATGTGTATGTGTATGAATGTGCATATGTATGCCTATGTGTATATGAACTATATAGATAGGTAGATAGATAGATAGGTAGATAGATAGATAGATAGAGAGAGAGAGAGAGAGAGAGCACATACGTCCGAAGCGAACCAGCAATAGCCAGCAGTCAGAGCAGCATCAGCAACGGCAAGTTCTGAACTCAACAAGGTCAGTGGTAGCAGCATCGAGCATGCGACTCTCAAGCTCAAGGGGAGGGAGGGACGGGTTCAGGTTCAGGGTATAGTTTTCGTCGGTGCAGGCGTGCCTGACATCCACGAGCTGGACAGCAAGCTGAGCATAGAAGGCCAGTACCTCGTGACGAACGGCAGTAAAGCCTCAGAGATCATGAATTTCAGGCCTACAGACAGCCTTTGTTTCGGGTGCTGCGGTGTTTCTATGTAGGCGGGATTCTGGATGCGGGTTGGTGTGGGTTCCCCGACGAAGTTATGATGCTTCGTCCAAAGAAAGAGTACATTTCGCAGTATTAGTTAGTGCAATGCGGAGGGCAGAAGAGACTGTGGCTTGGGCTACCCGGCTACCCTGAGGGGCCATGTAGTATACACTTAGCCCATGAAGGGTTCCTTTTCGGGTACTTTGGGGACGAAGTACATACAACATGGGTTAGATAGATACTGATACCCTAAACCTTCGTGGAGCCTCACAAACTGCAGTATCCTCTAAGCCCTAAACCCTAATCCCTAAAGCCTAATCCCTAAACCCCAAGCCGTAATCCCCAAACCCTGAACCCCAAACCCGAAACCGTAATCCCTAAACCTTGATCGAACCCTTGAACGGTGCATGAACAATCTTTGGGCATTGCCTCTTTGCACACAGGCTACATCGAGTGGTTCCAAACAGTGGTGAGGCTTGTCTTACAGGCCGCCGCGTTGAACATGGCCCAAGGGTTTGGTTTAAAACATTGTGGCCGTCATAGTTACCTATACTATTTTTGGGGGCTCCTTATTACAGTTATCATAAAATATACCCCAAACCGCTATTCTAATGACTAAGGCCCCCACATCAATTTCGAGGGTTTAGGTTACGGGGAAGTCGCAGTAACACCAGTAGTACTACTAGTTGCGGTAGCAGTCATAGTGACATTCAAGACTGAAGCAGGCGCAATCTTAGTCTCATCCTTAGTTCGCGGGTTTAGGGTTTAGGGGTTTAGGGTTTAGGGGATTAGGGTTTAGGGTTTAGTTCGTGGTGTTTCTTTCCTAGCAGCAGATTTGTTTGTGCTGCTCGGTTCTGAGATTCTCTCAGAGCCTCAGCCGTTCCCGCAAGCTCCGGAGTATTGGCCAGACCCCGAGTTGTAGCAACCCCCATAGGCCCCGAAGTAGTTCCTTTTTATGGTTCATATTTAGAATCCTATAAGGTAATCCCAAAAAGGAACTACTTGGGCGTTTTTTCGCCAACTTCTTTTATGGTTAGGATCCTAGACTAAGAAAGTGAGCTCCGCCGCCCACCCTTTTCAAAAAAATGAAGAGAAAGACAACGCCACAATCCAAGGTCGAGGAAAGTCATGCAACATTCAGGTTTGCGATCCTGGGAATTGGAGATCACAACCCGTAGGGGAATCAAAAGGGGAATCTGTGGTCGTCAGTCGTAGAACATCAAACCCTCTGGATGTAATTCGGGGTTTTAGGGTTCCAGTCAAGCAAAAAAAAGCAGCTCGGAATTTCGCCAAGAACTGACTCGAGCTGCAGCAAGAATCATCGGTTTGGAGTTTCTTTGTCGGCTTTCGGCTTTTGGCTTGTGCTTCACATCATGCCTGGCTAGGAGGTGGTGGGCTTGGAGCCCCAAATCACGAACCAAGCTCTTGGGTGTTTCAGACCCTAACTTGTTGAAACCCAACGCCAGAGATGTCGGATGGCGTTCGAGGGTTTAGGGTTTCGGGTTCAGGGTTTGGGGTTCAGGAAAAGGGTGCCTCAGTTGAAGTGAGGTGCAGCTTCCCCAAAAAACTCAACATCTGTTCAGATTCCAAAAAGCATGCTAAGCCCAACGTAACGACATGAAGCCTAGCGCCCAAACAACCGTAAACCCCTGTCGAACCGTGGGGGAGGCTGTGCAACTCTCTCCTTCGACCAAAGCCCCCTGAACCCCAGTTTCGTAAGCAGAAGCCAAGTGGCAGGTTTAGGATCCTAAACCCTGTAACTAACATCATGAAACATAATATAGGCCAGATTTTTTAAACAAATCCTTTTGTGTAGGATCCCTGAACCCGAATGTTACGAGGCGATTCCAGAAGATGGGCGAGCCATCTTCATGCAAACAGACGTGAAAGCACCCTGGCATCAAGCTCTGCTGGGGCTTTAGAGGGCATGGTCCCCATGTCAGCAAGGCTTTGGGAGAGCACGAAATCGGTTTAGGGTTTAGGGTTTTAGGGGTTTAGGGTTTAGGGTTACCGTGCAGAAACTGGCAAAGCATGGCACACTCCCCGAGCACCGCGGCCTGACTGTATCCGTTCAAGGGCTTGTGGACCTGAGCGTCTATACCTCCAGCGGCACGAATTCTTGAATATACCCTTCATGCCTACCATCCTGAAGCGGTCACAGCCTCCCTAAACACAACATATTGAAGCAGTTGAACCACCATACTTGTCAAGAATCAGCTCATCATTGAATGTAGGATGCAGGTAACGCGTGATGGTCAGCATGGGCGAAATGCCTCTGGCGGCAGCTACTGGCAGTGGCTAGACAAAGCCTATCTAGCGCTGCAAGCTGCATCACAGGTGCCGCGGGCTCAGGAAGGGAACCTAGTGCAAAGGGACCAGCTAAAGCCTTGACATCTGTCTCGTCTGTTTTGTCTATGGATCGAATTCCGCATAGTCCCTAGTTGTCGGAGGGCGATCTTGCAGTGATAGCATCGGGTCTTTCGGCTGAAAAGCGCTCCAATAGCTCAAAAGTCCGGTACAGTGACTGTGCTGCTGCAGGGTTTACAGCCGCCAAAGTCTGAGTTCGTCTATGCTGTAGACTAGCGTTTGCGCCCCAGGCCCCGCGCACGACTTCTGTGGCACCGTGTGCCTCAGCTGATCCTGCCGAGTCTAGCGGCATGCACACGTATGTGTAGTCCAGATCCACGCCTCCTATAAGATGAAGCCCGACAAGTACAGTGAATGAGCATCCTACATGCAAGTAGGCCAGGGCAGTCTAAGTTATCTCATCTCTAGAGTGTCTAGAGCCTAAACCGTTGCGCCAAATCCCAAGAATAGTTGTGCGACAACTGGCGATGACAAAATTGTGAGTCATCGTCAGAGCTAGAATATCGACTTTCGTTCACTTCGGTATGCCCCAAGCCAACCCTAGGCTGTAAACACCCTAAAGTGACTCTACCCTGCGAGGGTGAACGGTTCTTGCAAGGCTTCGTCACATTTCTGAGGCTCTTCTTGCCCTAAGCATGAACCCTGTAAAGACAAACCCACAACATCGCATGCCCCATAACATCCCATAAACTTCACATATATATATACACATACATACATACATACATACATACATACATACACATACACACACACATATATATATATATAGATATAGAGACGCTTCCAAACTCCTAAGTATCCCAGGTCATCTTCTCCGGCCAGCTGCAAGCAGGGGGCCGGAGTGGATTCAGCGCACCGGGGCATCAAAGTTTTTGGTGTTGGGGTCTTCGTTGTTGATCTTCCTGGCTGAAGATTACTAATCCCAAAACCCTAAACCCAGAACCCTAAACCCCTAAACCCCTAAACCCTAAACCCCTAAACCCTAAACCCCTAAACCCTAAACTCCTAAGCCCAAAACCCTAAACCCAGAACCCTAACCCGGTAGCCTGTGCACCTCGAATCCGGCTGGAGCGCTCAGTTCTCGAGCGTCGTAGGCGGCATCGGTCCTGAACCGTTCATCTTCCCCCCAAGACTGCATGTACATATGTAGTATATATATATATACCTGGGCCATAAAGGGGTTCCGTACGTATGTATGTAGTATAGAGCTCCATGGAACCTTAATTTGCGCTTGGCATTGTGCAAGCACATGGGCTGTGCTGTGGATCATGAACCCTGGCTCTTCGACGCATTTATGTACATAGGGTTTTAGGCGTTAATGTTTAGGGATGCTTTACAAAGAACAAATCCTCAATCCCAAGCCCTTCAACTCTACGACTTACACCAAGGCCGGCTACACGCACTACCTGTGCTTCACAACCGGCGTTCCTTTTCGGCGCTTTTTTCCAACTCAGAGCTCTGGTATCCTTGTCTTCGCGGTTCTGTCGGACGCCAGCCTCTTGCGGCTTCAGTGTGATCATAGTCTCCCGGAATTTATTATTTTGTTTGCTGCGATGCCCAAGTCTCATTGCCAAGGACACCGACGAAGCACTGGATCGCGGTGCTTTTCCTGATGTGATTCGTAGCTCGGTCTTTTCTCTTCCTGTAAGTTGAAGTTCATTTCACTTCGAAACCCAACAAGCACACCCTGCATGCGAGTGCATCTCAAGCCAAACCCCAAAACCTAAACCCTAAATCCGAAACCCTAAACCCTAAACTCTTAAACCCTAAAACCCTAAATCCCTAAACCCCAAATCCCTAAACCCTAAACCCTACAAACTCTAAACAAGATCCCAGGGAAGGGCCTCTCCACTTGGACCTCGGGCTCGGGAGCTCATGCGGTGCAGTTGGCCTGTAGCTACCTGAACCTGGGCTGCAATGGCGCGGGGGTTTAGGGTTTAGGGAGTTGAGGGCTTACTTCAGGGTTTAGGGTTTATTATTTTAGGGTTTAGTGTTTAGGAAGTTCAGGGCTTATTTTAGGGTTTAGGGTTTAGGAAATTTAGGACTTCTTTTAGGGTTTCGGGTTCAGGAAGTTCAGGGCTTATAGGGTGTGTGGCTTTTAGGATTTGGGGTTGAGGCTTTAGCGTGCAGGCTGTCGGCTGTCAGTCGTAGGCAGGGTTGCGGTAGGGTCTAGTGGGTACTTGGAGGTTCATGGGTAGTTATAAGTGGGGTTATAATTAAGGTAACTATAGTTATAACCCATATTAAGGGACTTATAACCCTACTTATAACTACCCATGAACCTCCAAGCAGGGCCTCCGCATGTACGTATGGCTCAGTTGTAGGGCTGACTGAGTTTACGATTTGTAGATGGTGCAGGTTGCATACATGGCATGGGTGCCTCCAAGTAAGATAGTAAGATACACCAAGGCATGCAAAAAGAGCGGCGAGAGCAAGAAACAGGGAGCCGGGCTTGCAGTCGTGAGTTTCGCGCTTTTGGTATTGAAGGGGTTCCTTTAAGTGGTTTTACAAGGGTTCCTTCAAAGGGTTCTATGTGCTCCCTTGCTGTCTTAAGGGTCGTGGTCTCAAGACTGCGGCCCTGATCTGCCTGTGACGAAAGTGTTTGAAAATCTGCGGATCCAGCTGTCGGGAGACCGCGGATGCTAGCAGGAACCTTGAACCCTACGCCCTACAAGCTTCAAGGATAGTAGAGTATGTTATCACATACTACAACCCACTATTATTATACCATGATATGCGAGAATATGCGAAAATATAATTGTTGATCCGGTCTCCTTAGGTTCAGTACTTCCGGCTTTTTGGGTCGCGTTCTGAGTTTGTCTTGGCCCAAAAGGGTCCGTAAAATGGGGGGGGGGGGGTTCGTGGCCCAGACCATAGCAGTAACTCCTACTTTAGAAACCCTGCAATCTACTACGGTTGATGATCTATATATCCTGCATTACCCATAATAAGGAATATAGTGTGATTCCCATAGCTTCGGGTCCTTAAGGAAACAGCAGGGTGTATATATCATCAACAGTATATAGGTGCTATAGAGGGACCCTTGGCGCCCCCAGTCCTGCGGGTTCCCTTATAAGGGTCCATGTACCCAAATAGTATATACTTTGACCCCAACCTTAAGGACGAAATGAGCCTTAATAGTAGGGGCCCTATACCCTTATACTATGAATTGCTATATGGTATATGAACCTTAAACCCTTTTAGGGTTCATTTCGTCCTTAAGGAATGTACCTATATACGGACTACTTTAAGGCCTATGAATACATGGACCCTTAGGGTTCTGAACGGAAACTCCGAGACCAAGTCTCTCTGAGGAAGGCGCAGGGCATCCAGACGGTGGTGGATCCTTTCTGTGCCTTGCGTGCAATGCTTCAGCGCTTAGGGCTTTAGGGAATTTAGAGTGGTGAGCTGAAGATAAGCTACCAGAGGTATAAGGGGCCTCAATTCCCTATAGGAAAGGACCCCACCTGCCCCGAACTCCAAACTCTGAGCTCCAAGCCCAAGGCCTTGCACCCCTAAACCCTGATCGAACTCTAATATAGGGGCCTCAATCATTTACCTATAGTATTTTGGGGGGTTCCTTGTCATAATTATATAATATAATGGGCCCCGAAACCCTATTCCAATTAT